CAAGATTCATGCTGACGCTGTTTCCGAAGTGATCTTCTTCGATTTCGGTGAAAAGGTGCTAAGCTTTCATCCGTCAAATAACGGACATCATCAGAGCGAGGTAACATCGTCACAACAAAATTTAAGTTAACGAGTCAAGAAAACTCACCGGCAAATCCCTAAAAAGTGGTATACATACTCTACATCTGGTCTCTTTCATCAAGTGTAAAGTGATTTGGTTAGTTAAGGTCATATGTCAACTTCGATGCATGTGAGTGTGTATGTATGTATGTATGTTTTTGATTTTTTTAAATGGAAGTAAGCTCAACAAGTGTCAAATGCAAAATTTAATCTTTCCCAGTTGAAACTATTCCAAATGCGTTAGATCTGCTCAATCTTTTTCATAAGCTCGATTCTGTAAATTCCACTATCCCCGAGATTGAAGATATTTCAGTGAAAAAAAATCACCTTTATTGAGATTTCTTCTAGTATACGCAATGCCAATGAAAATATGACAATAGGTATACTCAAAATCGGCCGAAGCCAAAAATGTACATTAAGCTGACTTGTGGAAAATTGTCTGTGACTAAAAATGGCTAAATGGTAAAATATATCAAGTGACAGTAAGCAGAGAAAAGAGCACATGTGGATCTACGATCTCGGCAATAGGCAAGTTCATATCAATGGTACCTTCAATCCTGATGCTAAGGCATGTGTGAGCCGAAATGAGCAGCTAAAGATAAATGTTATCAATTACATTCCAGACTACCTCGCCAAGGGTATCGCTTGGTCGAACAAGTATGAAACAGTGCATATTGCTTAGATAACCAGTTGCAAAGCAGACGAGTAAAAGTGTATGCAAGTGCTTCAGCAATATAGATTTCACTCGGTTCCTTTTTGGCTGGATTTGGTTTCGATTATAATGATCACCCCATCTTCGTCAACGCTTGACGGAGTATGCGTACTCGACGACCCAGTCGGCCCGGTCAGCTTGGCTAAAGCAGAAGCCTCTGTCGTGCCGACGACTCCTTGTTTGTCTGAAAGGCATTGAGGCAATTCAGGCAGTGACTGTTGCATTTCGTTGACCTTGGCGATGAGCAGTGATCGAGCGAGAATACGTCTGTCCAATGCGTTTACATCGGCCACTTCGTAGCTGTCACGATAGCTGACCCTTCGTTGACCCTTTGGGGGTTCGCTCAAAGAGTTTCGCTTTTGTTGACGACATCCCGCGGCCGAATGAGTCATCGTCCAGTCCTCCTCGTCCGTCGAGCCTGTTTGGACCGTCTCGGTCATCCACCGGTCATGCCCATCAGCCGCTCGCGGCTCCATGCTTGATAGAGCGTCAAGGCTGGACGAGCCTCGAAGTATGCTTTTGTTTGGGACTCGAGCTTGCACCAAAATTGGCTCCTCTTTGCCCTCCACGACGGACCAGCCTTGCACAACCACGTAGTCATTCATCCCATCTGTGTCCTCTTTTGACGCATAATCAAGCTCCTCTGTCTCCTCGTTCCGCTCTTCTGTCTCCTTTCTCCTCTCCTCTTCACTCTCCAAGTCAATCGGCTCCACCACAGCCAATTCACATTTGACGTCCAATTTTGGGTCGGTACATCCATCTGAATCCTCGTCCTTTTGGTGTGAATTCTCAGGAGACATATTTTTTTTATTCACTTCGGCTGGGGTTTCACTACCCCGTTTACCGCAACAACAACACAGCTGGTTGATGCAACTCATTTTAACTTGTCTGTCCGTTTTGCATCCCTTCTGAGGCACCGAGTAAAAATGGGTTTCCCAAAGTGCGGTACTTTTCAGGTCCGAAAATCGCCTGGCATTATCCAAGACGACCCCGGTCGCATACACAAATAAAGCTCGTTTGGGAAGAAGAGACACCGAACAACCGAGACTGGGCTTGGAGTAGAGAATTAAGTATTGCAAGGCACAGAATGCAAAGTTTGCATGTTGTTAATTTAGCAAATTTTAAGGCGTTTTCGACTGCACAGTGTCTACTTATCGACATGACCTGTAGAAGTGCGCAGCTGACTACAACAGCCTCAGTTAGAGGCCTATCATAAGCCAAATTACCCTTATTTTGGTGTACACTTGTGCCTGCTCATACAATAGAACAGTACCCCCTCTCACTAGACCCCGTTGCCAATTTGAGCTAGGCCATCAGAATTCATGTGAATCCTATTTTTTTTTGGCTTAACAATTAATTGCATGATTGTGAACCGAAAAAAAGTAGTCTAGAATATGTACAGGATAAAGGAAATAACTGCACATTAATAAGCATATCTGGTACCACAAATGTCAACATCGAGATGGCCCAGAAATTGGAAATATTTGCTGAAATTGTCCGACCAGCTTCCAGAATCAGTTCACTTCAATGCAAAACAACCTAGAATAATTGTAGGTAGCAAAGCAAAAAAGGATCACATTGTATGCCGGGATTGTTATGCCTTGTTGAGAATGAGGTATATAGATGGTCTCTGGAGGGTAGCTTTAAGTGATTTTACTTATTTACTTTTTTGAGAATATATATGTGGGGAATAGGTGCTCTTAGACGGATTACATGTCAGAATAAAAATAAAGTCACTCCAAGTCACCTGAAGTGATTCAGGCAGTGAAAGTGAAATAAGTTGTTTGACCTTATTTTCGCAACTTGGTCATATTGGTAGGAAGACTTAGAGGAAGGCACTTAGTCTGGAGTCCATTGTATGCTTCATCATTTCCAGAGTAGGAGTGTGGACGTAGTACATTCCCAGACGTTTCGCCGGCATCGTTGGTGAGTCATGCAATTCTGAGCACCACACTACAACTCATCAAATGAAGCCGATTCTTCGACCAATTGTCTGCTTAACAATCGTGGTATCCCTCCTCCCCCTTGGGCTAATCACCAATCCTATATCCTCGTATCACACCTTTACTATCTACATTTTTCACTTGCATATTCAAATGTGGTATGGTGTGCCGTTTTGAGCAGCTTTCATAAGAACTCTCCATATTCCTCGCTGGCTTTCATTGACTTGGTATTACGCATAGAAACCGGAAAGACGCGGTGGAGGCTAGAGCAAGTTGGCTTCATGTACCATGTCTATGAACAAACACGTTTAGTTTCAGCGAAATAGCTTTTGTCTTCAACGCGTCTATCCTGTATCAATCCATAATACCACGTCTATAACTTCCTGTATCCTGGTATTCTGTATGCCAACCTACAAATTTTGTGGTTATACTTGTTTTGATTAGACTCACTGAAGATGTCTTTTCTTGACTTCTGATTGTTCTTTTCTGGTCCCCTTGCGATTTATTTTACTAAAATTAGGCATATTACCTTGAGCTAATCGTCTTTTTTTGCTGATCTTCTCCGAGTTTGTTTAGGCAATATGCAAAATTTCGCTGATCCTGCCTTCTTCAAGTCTCCTGTTCATTAGATTTCTCTCGGTCATTATGTGGTAAGACTAAAGAGTAAGGATTATTCTCGCATATAAATTCTTTCTGTATAATCTCCTCATGAGTGTCCCGTTGGAGCACATAAATTCAATATCCAGAAATGGTCGTCGACCATCTTCCCCCCCTCCATTTTGGTTAATAAAATTGAGGAATCCATTCAAATTTTCCTTAGCATGTCACCAAAGTGCAAAGTAGTCATCCAAGTATCGCATGAGCACTCTTGGTTGCAGTAGTGACTTCACGAATTCCCTTTCCAACTTGTCCATGTACACATTTGTCAGAAGAGGTGAGATTGAATATCACATCGTTAGTCCGAATATTTGCTCGTAGATATTGCCGTTAAATGTAAAATATAGGGTCCTTACTGTCAGATTAATAAGTCGTATTAACGATTCCTTCCGTATCTGTTCTGCCTCCAGGATATCCTCTTCTCGCTACATTATCTTTAGTAATGCGTTAATGACATGGATTGTCCATTGAGAAAATTCGTATGAATTCTTAATGGTATTTCAGAGCCTTTCATTTACTTTCTTGAGCTTCAAACAAATGAATTTCGCTAGTTTGTGTGTTGCTCCATGCTTGTTGTTGGCACTTAATCTTAGCGGATTTCATCATCCTTCTATGAATTTTCCCTTTATTATTTCCTTTAGCATACTCCTCAGTGTCACATTGACCTTCGTGGTTGGATCCGTCCTTAGTATACTTTCCATTTTCTCCGTGTACTGTTTCCTGTCCATTGCAACCATCGCTCCTTCCTTATCCGCCTGAAGAACTATTTGATCATTCTTTTGTATTTTTTTCAGTATACTAGTCAATCTGGTCCTGTGTATCGGTTCTTGATGTGTCAGGTTCCGTGGTATTTTTCCCATTTCCATCTTACTCTTTGTCTCTACTGTATATTTATCCGATATGTTGACAACTTCAACCAGAATATCACTAAGAACGTTTCCTTCTTTGTTAGGGGGAACTTCATTTCGAATGAAAGTACATGATGAAGAGATTCGTTTGTCGTTCTCAC